GAACATTTTTTCTTTCAAACAATGACAATGATAAAGACATTTTTCAGATTATTTATTGAGCATTAATAAACAAAGCAAATGACTGACATATAGACAAAATACTAAAAAATAAAAATGAATTCTTTTCATATATTTTCTCCGAAAATTAATTTGACTGTGTTTGTTGTTGTTGATATAAAAATCGATGAATATCTTGAAATGTTGGTCGTTCATGATGATTAATTCTTAAACAAGCAAACATCAAATCAATTATTTCTTTTAATTGTATTCTATCAATAAATGTTATATCTAAATCTGTTGATAATGGTGGTGATAAAAGAATTTCTTGATCAGATAAATGTGCAAATGGAAGTATTCGACATGTTATCATTATTTCATATAATGTTATACCAAAACTATAAACATCAGATTTTATTGAATAACTATTTCCACCATTCTATAATTAAAAATATAAATAAAAAAATATAACGAAAAATATATAAAAATATAAAAACTAACAATTAAAATTTCTGGTGACATCCATCGAACAGGTAAATGTGCTTCAGTTGAATAATAATTTGAATAAATAGGTGAAGCCATAGCAATATCAGTTAATTTAATAATATAATCATTAAATACTAAACAATTTCTTGTTGATACATCCCGATGTATTAATTGTCGAGATTCAAGATAACTTAATGCACTAGATATTTGACATGTTACAAATAACATTGCTTGATAACTAGAAAAATTTCAAACATAGAAATAGTACGAAAAAGAAGTTTGTTTGTTTTTTTTATATTTAATTTAATTAAATACATACTCAAGTCGAGCATTGACATCATTTTCAACAATACGTCTCATTAATAGACATAAATCTCCAAGTTCAGTATATTCTGATACAAGTGCAAGACCATCTAGTGTTTTATAAAGGATATTAGCTAAATTAGGATGATCAATTGAACATAATAATTGACTTTCTTGAGCAAATAATGATCGAGACATTGTTGAAACTTTAGTTAAACGTCGTATAATAATACGATTATATGAATATACATTACCAATTGAAATCTATATTCAAAAAAAAAAAAACAATTTTCTCTCTTGCACTTTTTAATGCTATTATCATCCTACTTGTCCAAATCTTCCTTCACCATAAAGATCTCCTGGTGGTACAATTTCACTTGAGATTAATTCAACTTTTCTTGGAGGCATAATCATTTGTGGTACATTTGTTATCGATCGTATCATTAAATTTGTTCCACATACACCACGTAATGTTGATGATAAATCATTCGTTCCATTATTGACACTAATTATATCTGTTGAAGCATAAAAATTGGCTTCACTATCAATACCATTTGTTGAAAGTAATTTCACAGATTGTGGATGATGGAATGTTGTTGATGGTAAACATTTATTTCGTGCTAATAGTTTTGGTGTACCACTAAATGTTGACGGTTCTGATGAACTCGGAGCACCGTATGAACTTTGACTACGATCTATTAAAGATTGTTTTTTTTTCTTTCTTTTTTTTTTGACAAATATAAAATAACTTACTTGAACTTTGAGTATCTTTTTCAATATTATTACAACATGGAATTTGAAGTTTTAATTGATTATGATTATTATCAGTATGACATGTTTGTGAAATCAATTTTTCACCATATCTATCATATTAAAAAAAATATATGAGAATGAACAATGATTTTCTTTTGTTAATATGAACTAAACAAACCGATTTAATTTTCGTTTTTTTCTATGTTTGAGTATAATTGCAATACAACAAATAAGAACAATAATAAAAATAAATGAAAATGCACAAGCAAGAATAATTATAAATTGTAATGGAACAGTGATTGTCGTTGGTGAATTTAACTTATGAGATTGTTTAGCTAATAATTCAAGAAAAATAACAAATGAAAGAATTCAAATAAAAAATCAATATTAAATGGAAACTTAAAAATTAAAACTCCACTAACATGTGATTTTAAAAAAATTGAAAACCAATTGAAACGTTTCTATACTATATCATTGAAGGATAACAAGATTGACTGAACTGCTATCGATGTTTCTACAATTTAGTTGCTCTATCTTCTTTTTCGAAAACAATTTTCAATCGACACAACTACTATACAAAAATGAATACTAGAGTTTTAAATATTTTCGAATCTGAATTAGCTTTCAGATACCATTGATAGAGCAATAGAAATGTCTAATCTTTGTCGTCAAAAGAAAACAATGTAATACAAATTTTATTCACCATTGGAAGACTGAAGTAAACAGTTTAATATGCAGTTTGACTATTCTCTGTGTCATAATTCATTTTCAAACAGTATGCATGATCTCTTGTGATCAAATACATTGTATTCTTGCTAATGGTATGAATGTGGTTTTTTGTATAGCAGCTCTGAGCTTATACAAATAGTACTGCTATAAAAAGTTTTATTTCCCCTCCGACAATAAAGCTAATGTCCGGATTGCTCGAAGTAGAACATTACCTTTGAACTCATACTTCGAATATACCAAGAGAATCTTTCAATAAGAATAAGTCAGAAAGAATGCAGGTTCATAGGTCTTCTTTACAAGGTTATGATAATTTTGCATTTTTTTTAAACCATAGAACTGTATATTGAGAACAAATTCTTGACCTTAAATTTTATTTATACGTAAATCTTATCATCTTCAGCATATGCTGAAAACTTCAGTCGAAATCATAGCTTCTTTTTTTGAAACAGTTAAGTTTAAAATCTCATGAGACTTCAAATATGAGTAGAATAATCAGTAAATTTAGGAGAATGATGAAACCTATTTATATTTAAAAAAAAACCATGCACTATATCTGTTGTTCAATTCAATTTTTGCATTGAATATTCCCGTTCGATAGTAATAATCTAGTACAACTGTCATAACCTTGAAGAAAAGATCTATAAGCTCAATTCCTTTTCAGGGTTATTCTTATGTAGAGATTCATTCTATATGTGTATAATATGAGCTCATAAGTAATATATTACTTCGGGTAATTTTCTTCACAGTGAAAAACAGTTTTTTTGTTTCAATTTCACATCTCAAAAAAAAAAAAGAAAATACTATAAAATTCAATAAGATAACTAACCGTAAACAATACTTCACTTTAGAAGTACATTCTGACTGAACTAGTTAAACTAAAGTGAATTATCGTCCGATAATTCCTATTCGTGTCAATATTATTCTTCATAATAAAAACATATTGCTTTTCAACATATCTTTCAAACTAAAAAAAAAACAATCTTCAATGAAGACAAAGAAAAGAATAAATTATTCTTATATTCAAGAGGTTTATTCAGTATTCATATTTTTTTTTGTTGTTGTTTGTCTTATGCATATATTATTCTCTTTATTTCGAACTATAAATCATAATTAAAAAAATAAATTCTTACCATTTAATTGTGATAAAAGTTTCATATCTAAAATATCATTTGAAATAAATTGTACTTCACTAATTAACATCCAATTAGAATTTCCAAATGTTAATTCAATATGAATAATTTTTGCTAATTGTTCTTTCATTGGTATATTAATCCATCTAGCATGTTCAGATTGTCTATCATTGGATAATTCAATAATATGTTTATTTTCAAGAAAATTTTCATTGAAATATGTTGTTATATTTATTCGATGAAATTGTTCAATATCCTTTGAAAACATATTATTTGTATGTAAACGTATTTCTGTAAAATTTCGAATTGAATCAAAATAAAATTTTAATGGTATAAATGTTCGATTTTTTATTGTTTTTTTCCATCCAATCCATTCAAAACCACGTAAACCCCAACTTTGAGTATCTAAACGAATATCATCTGATCCAATATCACCATCAATTAATTGTCCGAGACCATTTGTTAAAGGTGATAAATATCCATCATATGTTTTATCACTAAAATCCATATCAAATGAACGTCTATCACCTTGTGGAATGGTATATGATATTAAATGATCATCACTTAAACAACCATATAATTCTAATCTAAGACACATTCTTTTAGCTTTTTTATCATTTGATTGAATTGGATAAATACGTAATTGTATAGCTATAATTGGTTGTAAAATTTCACGAATTTCAGCAATATTATTATTTGAATTTCCATGAAAAATTTCTTTTTTTCGAAAATCACGATATTTTATCCATGGATGAGTTGGATCACGACGATATTCAAGACGATAATAATCAACATAATCTTCCTAAAAACAAAATTTAAAAAAAAACAAAAAAATTAATTGTATTTTTTGTGTATGTCGTTATTCATATCATACTTGAAATGGTCCATGACGTCCTTGAGTTTCAATTAATGTAATCACAGTTAAATTAAAAAAATTAATCTGTAAATATTCTTCACTTTGATTATCAATTAATGTTTTTGGACACCAACCACCACCTTCAATAGCTGATCGAATACGAGCTGTATGTGGACCAAGTGTTACATCTAAAGATGAACTAGCTTGAAATGATAAATCTGGTATTGCACCAGATTGAATGCCAAGAGGAGCACGACATGTACCTTTTTAATTGAATTATTTTTAGAATTAAAATTTCTTTTCAAAATAAAAAAAAAACAAATTTCTTACCAAGATCTAAACTAAAGCATTGATTGTTGATAAGAAATAAAAGTAAAAGTAGAAACATGATAATGGCTTTAATCTAAAATAACAAAGAATAGACTAACTAATCAACAAATATCTTCTGCTCGATCGATTGCAACTAATAAATCTAACAACTGTTCATATTCACTTTCTCTAGAGATTGTCTGATAATGATAAAAAACAAATCACAAATTTCAATCTATATAGATAAATCTATTTTCTCTTGATGCATAAATTTTTTTTTTCTTTTTAAGTCTTATGTAATAAGATTCATACGACTGACTGGTAAAACAATAAATAAATCAAATGGTAAAAATGTTCACACCAGAAAATTGTTATTTAATCGATGATGATGATGATGCTTCGTTGAAAACATCATATAAACGAAGACAAAGATGAATAGATAGCATTATCATTTCTATTTTCTTTCGTTTTTTATAGTTATTGTTTGTTCTCGATGTGTACTCATCATGTCATCAGGGCAAAATGGATAAATGATGATGATGATCAGCATCATCATGATGAAAATGAAATAACAAATACATTTATATATATATATTTATCAGACCAGACTCCCGGCGTGTTCTCAGACAATGAGTTAAAAAGCATAACTATCTTATTTATTTTTTCTTTTGACATTCATAGAAATTCTATTGTACAAATTAATCAATAAAGAAAAAAAAAAAGAATACAATCATTCATTTTCTTAAAGAACTTACTTTATGTCAGATTGAATATCTGTGGAAAAGATCAATTTCATATGCTCGATACAACACACATCTTTCTTCTTCCGATTTCTTTTTTTCTCATCTCCGTTCAAATCAAATTATCTCAAACACACACACACATAGACATCCATACATACATAGCTTTCTTTTTTCTATCTACTTATGCAATCACAGTTCCATTTTTATCTACCATCTATCCATCTATCTGACGACACAAAACGATTAGAAATCGACGTCGGCATGCATTACACCATCACGGACTCGACAATTGCATCAAAATACACACACACGCATATATATATAGAATGAAATTAAGAACGAAATCTTAGTATTCTTCTTGACGAGACAAGTTTGCTTTTGTCTATGTGAAACAAAATACCATATTAAAAGAAAGAGATCGAAAGAGACAGAACACCGATATCACACTCGATTATGAAAAGAAAGAAAGAAAAAAACAGACAGACACATACGTTAAAGGTGTAGTTCGGTCAATTATAAATATGAATATGGTCAGTACGTACATTCATTGTTTGTTTCTATGTCCAATGAATAACAACGTGTCACAGACAATAAAGGTTAACTCACACACTCTTGTGACGATTATTATGATTAGTCAAAGTAAACAAGAATCAATAGGGGAATCGCATGTGTGTGACAGTTGATTTTACAAATACAAGACTAGCTATGTAATAGAAAACGGGAACAAAGATGACACATCCATTTATGGAATACATCATTCAAATAAATACTAATATGACATGCAAGCACCAAACAAAAAAAGAAATTTCTTCTTTTCTTTTTTTTTTTTTTTTTTTTTTTTGCTAACGAATCATAAATCTTATTTACATACGAGACAATATTCATATTGACAAGTAGAAGTATTTATTCATTCAAGTTCATTGAGCACATCGAACATAACTATTTTAAATAGTATATACTTTTCATTTATTATAAAGACGAATAAATTCAATATTGACTTAAACAAAAGAAGTCGAATATAAAATAGTTCATCTTATATTCAATTGAATTTCTTTTTTTTTTCAAGACAACAAGGTGTCATAATCGATCTTTTCACCTTAGAGTATAGACATTAATTTGTCAAAAGATCAAACGTGTATATGAACATATTCCTTAAAAAAAAAAGAAGCTCTTATCATAGTTCTACTACGTGCTTCACTTACGAGTGCGTGACAAAAAAACAAAAAAGAAGATGCCGACAAGCTTCTAGTCAAGTTTTGCAAGGTCATTCTACTTACTGTTTATGAAGAGACATTTATGCTCCTCCCTATTTCTTTCTCTACCTTAAACATTTGCTTTGCCTGACTCAATTCTTGACGAATAAATGAATAGAAAAAAAAAAGAACAGGAAATGATGAGCGAAAATGAACACGCACATATACACCTTTATATGAAAAAGTTTAAAAGAAAAGCTAAAAGATCTCATTTATCTTTTTTCTTATAAATCAAAGAAGAATAGCATATCGAGTAATTATATTGACGAAAAAAAAAAAAGAGATAGCAAAAGAATTACATAAAAAGAAGCTCATCTTCTTTCGATTTACAATCCTATGAAATCGATCTCATATGGTGAGCAAAGGTCGATATTAGTTCAAGGTGCAGAAAGAAAGGAATAGTGAGATATGCACAAGGTTTTTTTCGTCATACAACGCTAATTTTTAGCACGCGCAACTTACTGGAAAATTAGCATCAAAGAAAAAGGAAAGAAATGATTATATAACAACCGATCATGCAGGTGCTACCTGAGTGTTCTAATCTTCCGACTTGTATATATATATATATATGGATATATATATATATATATATATATCTGTACCCACTTGTCTCTCGGCAGCGCCTATAACTACAAGTAATAATAAGCCTTCTCTCTCTTGAGAAGTAGGGGAACGAAAGAGAGAAAGATTTTTTTTCTTCTTCTCTCTTCGATTAGATCGAGGTCTATTATATCAACACTCGTCTTCCTTTTCTTTTTCTCTTGGCAATGTTCAGAAGAGAACGAACATTATTGACAGAAACAGGAAAATGGGATGACAGAACATTTATCTCGTCATTCATTCACCTGCAGAGCATCTTCAATAGAGGAAAAAAGCAGGAAAAAAGAAATAACGTCCTTGTATGTTCGATGAAGAAGAAAAGAAACTTAGTACTTAATAGAATGGTTTGTCTGCTTGAACGCTTGCAATGAATAAAAAGAAAAAAAAAAAGATGCTTTTTTTTTCTTTCACGCATTATCATCTTCATCATCATCATCATTCTATTCATTCAAATATATGACAAAAAACGAATGATTAAACATACAAGGATAAATTTAAATAGATGAACTGTCAATTTCTACTATGTATCTTATAAAGTTCAATATTTATCTATGAAACCTTTCAGTTTTATCTTCTTCTTCAATAGTGATGAGGGCACAAAAAAAAAAAAGAAAATGTTATTTTGTAATTTAGATAGAAAGCCAGACAACACTGTTGTGCTTGGCGTCGAACGGATATCTATCAGCACTACTGTACAAACAGACTGTCATTCATTGTTGAATGAATAATAATAAACAAATCTTGTCTCTCACCTGAAAGATTGTTCTAGCATGTCTGACCATAATTGTTTATCTGATGATTACACAATATATACATACATATAGATTTATTCAAGAAAAAAACACGAACGTGAGTTTATTAACGTTATGGCTGTTAAAATTTTCACCATGAATATCTAATTGAACACGCACAATACGCACCATCAAACAACACGGCATGCACTGTAGTTCACCTATTAAATATATCGCTCTCGCCAATTATGATGGCAGCAACAGCAGCTGTCTGTTTTCGTTCTGCGGTCAGATTTGATTAAAAAAAAGAAAATAAAACGACGCCTGAACTCACCATGCAATCGTCTAGATGAGGAACAGTTGGTGGTAGTGTCGATATTCAAATGTTGTTTCAAGAATGTATATGATGATGATGATCATCATCATCATCACTATCAAGAGGCTAGATCAATGTCATACTCAAGTAGCCTTGTTTCTAGTCTGACCATTACCCTAACACATCTGGCATTCCATTGTAAAAAAAGAAAAAGAAAACGACAAGATCTTTCCACTATAATTACACGTGATTTCTTTCCGGTTCATCATCACGTAATCGTCGTCGTCGTCGTCCCCAAATTTTTTTCTTTAGTTCTAATTGCCCGCCTTCAAACGGACATATACAAAGACCGGAAGGCAGACACACTATGTGACTTACATTCATTCATCTACTATATAACTACCCATTTTCAAGCTTAAAGAAGTCGTTTTAAGTGAGAAAGAAAAACGATGTTGGTACCCTAAGGCCAACAATGTCTCGTATATAGAAGTTGAAATTACGCGATGTAAACGGTAGTAATTTTCTTTTTTCTCGCTTCGTATACGAATCACCTCAAGCTCCGTAATCATTCTCGACATAGAGAGGAAAAAAAGAAATGAAATCAACGAATGTTTCCACCTATTATATATGTATATATGTTGACTATGACTGGTTGCCTATTAGAAACGATGTATTGACATACTCTCGTAACTGACCACTATATGTTTCTGTATATGTATGTTTGTACTTATCCTAGCTTCGACTATTCCATAGAAAAGAACATGAATCGTTGTGCCGATAACTGATCAGTCGAGCCCTAGATATATCTATGTACGTATGTGTAACCACCGGTCAATCGGCACATTTAGTGTAAGACGACAGAAATTATATTGGCGACCTTTCACCATTGATGCCACTTACAGATGAAATATGAACAACAAACATCAGCACTATCTAAACTAGCTATTCGTTGTGATGCAATAATGCTCGACTGCTGTCAAATAATAACGAGAAAAAGAAGAAAGAAAAATTAGAAAGAACAACACTTAAACATAAAGTATAGAGAACACATTTTAAGTGGCCCTGCGGAGTAGTGCATTTCGAAAAATGGAAGTTTAGTTGCTATTTCTCTCTCCTTCTCTGTCTTTTTCTTTCACAATGTAAAATGAGAGCGTAGCTCATTTTCACGGTCAACCGCGCTGATCATTACCTACTGTCTGACCGGACTTACGAGTCATATGAACTGACTGCTGCCGGATGTATAGTTGTACTATGCTTTGTATTCTTTTAATGGGTTTTTTTCTCTTACGAACCGACCGACATGAAATGCCACGCGTACACACGTGTACACATCAGAGATTAAAAAAAAAAGAAACTGGACACATCAGGCAATCGGTCGATCAAGAGTCTGTCTCTAATGCGTCAAGTAGAATTATCAAAAATTCATCATTTTAACCAAGTCAAGACTAGTCTAGTCCCATGAGATGATACAATGGACAGATTGACTTCTATCGAACGGGCAGTGACCATTTCCATTTGGTTCGATTAGTATCGATTTCTTATTCTTTCTTTTTTTCCTTTCTCTCTCTCCCTCCATAGACAATCGATTTCTCATATGAACGAAGAATACTTTTTATTTAAGTTAATTCTTATTTTGAAAAAAAAAAAGTATTATTTTTATTGCTAACAAAAAGAATGATATTTATGTTAACAATTCATCATAAGAAGATTATATACATACGAAATGATCTCAGACAGACCAAGTTGTTATACACATGCAATTTCTACTTGCCTTGCAGTCTATTGATGCTATTATAGATAGAATAAGAATGTAACCCTCCTTTTTCTCTTCACATATGTGTATGGATTGTCTGTTAATGATACAAGATAAATATTATGACGACCGCCCTTTGCTTTTCTCATGGTCATTCGTTCGCTTTCCAGAACAACGATGATATATGAATGTGTTTCACACATTGATTGAACATCATGTCTGTTTTGATCTTGAAATACAATCAGCCGATCGTTTACAGAGCATCTGGTTTAATTGCTTTCAAGAGGCTTCTATTATATATATATATAGACATGTATGTATGCCTGTACCCCATACTAAGACGATCAAACGATGATGATCCTTTTCTTTTTTGAATGAAGAATAACATAGATTTACTCATAAAAGAAAAAAAGAAAATTGATGATAGCAAAGGTAGCTCATATGTCAAAATAGACAAACTAGTCAATCTTTTTGAACTATTGTCTGAGTGAACATCAATCACCGTTGTAAATTATGGTTATGATGATAGGATAAATCTTATCTGGTCAATGGACTAGGCATCTGGTTGATGAAATCACTTCTTGCTATAATTCAATCTCGAGTTAATTTACAAACATATACTCACTATGTTTATTCATATGCTTGTGTGTACAAGATGGTCGGAGACAATTTAATTGTTCTAGTGATGCGGGCTCGTATGAAATTTCAAGGCGAAAGTGAATTCTTTTGTTTGAACAACAGATCAGTCTATTGAATGTATTGATAGAAAAAAATTGTACGATGACAAAGCGCATATACATACACTAGGGGATGCTTGTTGTCGCTGCTACTGCTGCATTTAATTGAATCTATTGTCTCTTATTCTCTTTCTCTTCAGCTATTATCACGCTCGACTCGCTTGTTCTATGGTGTTTGTTGAATGTGTCACCATGGTTCGGCCTACCGATGATCATGATGAACAACAGAGATGGTGACATACAAAGACACCATCTGTTCAATGTATCAACTAAGACAACATTGAAAAAAATTGAATTAATAACATCAGATTTCAATTTGTTTGTTTTATAATAAACTATTAACTTCAGAATATTATTTAATACTAATATCGTATTCTATTTATAATCGAATGTTTATATAGAAGTGACATATATCAATCTGTCATAGTCAATAAAAGAAAACTTTATATAATTGTTTTGACTTATATAACATTTGTTTTATGGCAAATTAATAAATTAAATGACTATATAATTACACAAGAAGATATCATCAACGTACGATATTCTTCGTCTATATCTATTTTTTGTTTAGTGCATTTGTGAAATTGAATTCTAACAATGATTAGTTTAACAGTTCGATGGTAAGTGTTCATATAACATGCTATGCATACATAGTATTTACTACAGATGGTATACTGAACGATAAAACTTATCAATAGTCTTTTCATTAAACGTCAACAAGAAATATCTCTAAAGACGATTAATTAAGGGAAATACTTAATTATGCATAACGAACGATATGATTACGTATATTACGAAAACTCCTATTTTAATACCATTAAATTTGCATGATCAAGTATACTGTAAAATGATCTCGTAATTCATTTGATGATAGAGACACCATCATCAAATGACATAACTAAGAAATCTGAATTTTTTTTTACGGTTCTGTTAATACGTTACAAAAGAAACTAATATTTCAGGTTATTATGATAGAAATCTTGACTATTAAGTTTTACATTATTCTGGCAAAAAAAAAAATATTAATTTAGGACTATTCTCTGAAGTTGTTGCCATTCATAATTTTATTCTTCTCGATTATTTTATCTTTGCTAATTTTTCCTCAGGACATTAGGTTAATGTTCGCTGCTTACTGATAAATTTTATTGTCCATATGTGATATAATACCTATCCAGACAAAATTTTCCAACAATGAAATACTTATGCATATAGATTTATACTTCAATAGAATTAATTATTGGCTGTAATTGTATATGATCTTAACTGGTGTCACAGATGAGCAATGCTGACACCTTTGTAGTTTTCTAAAGAAGAAGAATAAAATAAAAAACATTAAGAATCCAAATATTATATCATTCGTTATATAATGTTTCTTTTGATATCACACATATCTTTTCTTTTTCCTTTCTAATCTGTATAATGTATTCCATTGAACAATTTAACAGGAAAAATCTATAGACTAAAAGAGAATTCTTAGTAACATTAATTCAAATCATCTATAGAATTCAAACTAAAAGTCAATATTTGTTAATTAGATAAATAGAGATCAAGAATGTCTAAATTTGAATAATAAGTAATTTTATATACTACGTCAATAACTTCTTTCATGAAATTCTAAAATTATTACTAATCTTAACATTAATTTCGATCAAATATTCGTTTTTCAAGTTCAAATAAAACGGTTACAAACCTTATTACAATGTCATTCAAATGTACATATGAATATATGATAAAATGAGTATATCAATACAAGAATAATATATATATATATATACATGCTTCAAATAATTGTACTTAATTCACGATTAACTATCATGCATATATATATATATGTTGATCCGATTTCATTCTTCACAGAATTTGAAACGAAGACCTTCGTACATAATCGTATCAAGGGCTAATACAATTTGATATAACCTGCAATAGCATTTGTCTACTTATATTACACGTAATAAAACAGTCAGAAAAAAATGATTTTCATAAATCACTAATAAATTAATATGAAAAAAATAAAAACATGTTTCGAGTATCTATTCAATTTTGATTGAAATATTTTCTTTTGTTCATCGTCTATTCACTATTTAATATCGTGATCGCAATAATTTAATAATACTTATATGATACAGCAATTCAATTTGAATTTTAATTAGACAAAGTTTCAGTTTTTCTTTGTCAATTATTATAATTACATGAATTGTTTCAGTTTAGGAAGTAAAACTAACAAATTTAAATGATTGACAATCTTTGATGAGAAAAAAAGAATCTTTCAGATCATTTGAGAATACTTCAATTTTAAAAACTAATTTAGATTTTAACAATCTCGTTTACTCTATAAAATAAAACTTCTATGTAAAACACGTATTTATTATCATAACAAAGTATTGTACAATATAAATAAAAGTTCAATTATTCAATATAGAATTTATTAACAATGCCCATGATGACCACCTCCATAATGATGACCACCTCCATAATGATGACCACCACCGAAACCACCGTGATGTTGGTCATGTCCATATCCATGATGCATATCATGATGATGAGGATCAAATCCAAATCCTGGATTCATATGATGATCATGATGATATCCTGGACCAAAGCCTTGAGGATGATGATGTGCGTCAAAATGTCGCTGTTGATGATGATGTGAAAAACCACCGCCCATATTTGTATGAAAAGTTTATTGTATACACTGGTTTGTTTTATCAAATGAAATAAATTGACATTGTAACAGCTATTTATATATGAACTAGTAAAGCAAAAAGAAATAGAAAGACGTCATTCATCGCTTTCTGCTCAAACAAAAATATTATTCAATTTTTTTCTGTCAGGAAGTAAAAGTAAAAGTAGGAGAACATGACTACTCTAGAATGAATATTCGTGTGACTCACAATTCAAATAAGAAACAAAATGACGACAATAGTATGATTCACATGTATGAATTTCTAGTACGCTTGGCTTTTTATTTAAGGTTAATAAAAAAAAAAAAAATCTTCTATGAATATATCATCAAATGCACTTAGTCTAACCAAAAAAAGTGACGTTTTTTATTTTTTTCATTATGTAGATAACAATATAAATTTGTTTTAAATAAGTTTGATGTTAACTTATACATGACAATGATGATTAATCCTTGAAGAACATAGATTTCATAATAGAATTGCGTAGTAAAAAAGATTCTAAAACAAATATTTATTCAAGGACATTAGATGGCAAAAAGTACGAATGCTAGAATCGATGAATATTTTTTTTCTATCATCAGTGTCAATCATTTTTTCAATTGCATAGCAATTATTAGGAAGTGTTATGTTATTGTTAAGAGACAAAAGAAATAGTATTCACACCAAGAACATTGCTATGCCGATCGTATCTAAAATACATTAAGATGTGTATTTAGTTTTTTAGAATTACTTTTTAATAACATCAATATTAACAGATGCAAAATAAAATGGTATCTCAAAAAGAAGAAGACATTGATAAGGATATAACTGGCACTCTTGACGATCATACAGCAGACTCAACATCAAGGAATCAGAGAAGAATGCCGACTAAACGCCAATTCACATCATCCTCGCAAACCCAAGAATAATCATTCGATAGCTGAATGCCTTCAAGAAAAATTACACCAAAACAAGAAATAATATAGCTATACTTTTTCAAAATTATCGATTAATATTGTTTATTATTGATTTGGATTTTATTTAGATTTCATCAATTTAATATTTATAAAAACTTGTGACCTTATTTAAGTCACATGATAGTTAATGTCAACCATATGTAATCGGTAGCTCATAAAGAATGAGACATTTTGATTTTCTCTTTTTGAATACAGTAATTTAGTTGAAAGACACCAGTCTGAGCTCATTGGATAGAAAATTTTTCGCTCTACAAAACTGTTAACTTTGTTCTTTAAATAAGTTTTTATGTCGCAGAAAAATCTGACGGAAACTCAAACATTGAATTGCAACTGTTAGAAAACAAATCAGTCATTATAAATGTGTTTAAATAACAGTTCGTTTGAAATTCGACATATGTCGCATATCACGATGTTTTGCTATTCTAGAAAAAAAGAATTTTTTAAGCAAAAACTAGCAAACGATACAAAAGACTCTTTCTAGCAGCTCTATGTCTATGGAAACAATATACAGATTTTTGTTATTCGACTTAAATATTCCATCCGATGATGTAATGATAAACTGTTGATAGACCACATTATCGTTTGAAAACATGAGTTTCAAAAGTGTATTCAAAACACAATACCACTGGATGTTAGTTCCAAATCTTTAACATCTGCATGACATCATTAGAAGCCTTGAAAAGATCTTGGAAACACAGAACATGCAGTTTTCTATGTATTGACATTAAATATTTTACATTTAGCATCAAACTTGATGAATAATAGGCTCATACAGATGGCAAGGTGTCTGCAGAAAATAACAGGAGATCGTGCAAGTGAGCAGTGAAACAGTCGGTAAGAAAAATTTGTTCACAGCCAAAATCCACATTTTTTTAGAGCAGAAAATTCTCTACTGAATGAGCTTTAAATGATGCCCTTGGCATTCTTAAAAAAGCGGAAAATTGCACTGTTCTATTATTTATCAACCACACGTTACAATTATTTTCATATTTTGTCAAATTCTTTTCAGTATTTATTGATCATCAAAGAAAGTTATCACGTAGTTGAGTTTATAGCTGAGATCCGAATCTATCTGACTCGTTTATATTCATTGAACTAGAAATTCGGAACATGTAAATATCTTTATTATTCTCGACTAGGTTAATTAACTTTGATAATATAAAAGTCCAAATCTCTATAATTGATTCTCCATTTTAGGTGAACATTGCTGTAGCAATTTCTGATAGAATTTAATTATTAACACACTGAAATGTTCACCAACAAATACTTCATCTTTTCTAGATTGTAGTGAAAATATATATTTGATAATTATTGTAAAATAATTTTCTTGTAAATTGAATTGATCAATTCATAAGGACTTATGAATCTTTCGTTTGTTTTTGCTAAGGAAACATTAATCCGAAAGATAAAATCATTGACGATTCTTGATGTTTTACTCTATTGATTGTAGTTTACAAAATAATGTTGAAGGATTAACATAATAAACTATACATCTATTATTGTTGCATGATGGATTATTTATCAACAGCATTTTTTGTAAAATCCTTTATGAATGGTTTGACTCAATTACATAAAAAGTAGAAGTTATTGACGACAAGATAAAATATTTAAACATTTTTTTAAGGTTATGTTATCTAATGAAATAGCTATTTGGATGATCGTTAGATTAGAAAAGATGAACCATTTCAAACAGCTACCTAAATCTGTCAGTTTTAACATTGTAGGTTTTTTCATGTTGATTAATAACGAAAAGTATGAAGTTTATCAGTATCAAAATTCTTTCGATTTATTTTAGAAAACGTATATTTGAGACATTATGTATATTTCGAACGAAACATCCATTTATTTCAATGAGATTGATTCGATATTACTGCATCATTAATTTTTATTATCTATATCATTCTTTATTAGAAAAGTTATCTTTCTCTACAGAATAGTTAAATAATACTGTTCTTTTGTTGACATGGTATTATTTTTGCATCGTTCGGTTTTGATCCTTCGTTTTCTGTGCAGTGACGTATCTAAATGTGACTGTTACTAATAAACTAAACACATTGGTTTGATGATTTTAAGAATTCATTCTATCACATACATTGATATTGCAAACAAACAATTTTTCTTTTTTCTTTCTTGTTAGATAAAATTGATCAACTATTCTGTCTGATTTTATAGGTAAATTATGGAAGAGCTATGGTTAAAATAAGTGAAACTTAGAGATGGTCAAAAATTTATAAAGTAAAAATCTTTTTTAAGTGAAATTCAGAATGTCGACTGAAAAAAAGTATTTTTAACCAGTTATTCTTTCTTTTTATATATGTATGAAAAAATCGAAAACATCTTCGAAAAAGATCTGCATCTCGTTTCATCATGTATCATTCATGTGGCAACATAGTACATTATCATGTTGATCGTTATTATAATTCTTAAGAAAAAAAGAAAAGATTGAACTCTAAATTTGCATCTATATTAAAAAAAAAGAAAATTTTCTATGATTTCAAGGTAAGACTCATGAAATATGATGAGAAAAATAATTAAAATGGCTTTATCATGAGATTTGCATCGATTTTGTTTTTAAAACACATCGGAAATATTTATTACATACGTAATTGTACTATGTAGTTATGTATGTGATGTTTTCTAGTATTAAATCAACAGAGCACATTAGTCCTGTTTTAGTTTTCATCAATAAAAACAGCTATATTAAAATATTTATTTTATTCAAACAGATAAAAACATCTGGCTCATTTGTATTTGAACAAATAAAATAGAATTCCATCATTCAATCACCATCGTAGAAAGGAACATGGGATGTATTCATATAAAAGTGTGTGTCGGTGGATGCAGTAAAAACATATACATATATAAGTTTCTATTCAATTTCTTTCGCCTTTTTTTTATCTTTTAGAATTTTCTTTATTTTTAACAAATGAGTACCAAACGTGATCAGAGTTTTGAAGAACAAAGAGACAAAAAGAACTTTATATAAAATTATATTTCATAGAATGTTCGAAGTAGTTTTCATGGTTATTTTATATACAATTGCATTCGTTCAAGTCATATATTGAAAGTTTATTTTTATAGTCATTTTTATTCATAGAATTCAACAAGGACAGCGAACTACTTTTGTCCAGTTATATTCTATTTGAGCAAGTCGAATAATGAAAATTCATATGATAACAGGTCTGGAGATTTCAGTGCTTGTTGAATAATTTTGATGTGTCTCTCGATTTGAAATAGCTATATGTATTGTCATAAATATGTAGTTGCATCATGTCATGATGAAGTTAAATAATGTATGTGCCTGATATTGATTTTCTATTCCAAATTTCATTGATAAGACGTTTTTAACAATTATCGATGTAATGTTGATGATTGATAATTTGTCCTTGTTCAATAGGATGGATAAGCAGAAAAATATTAATTTTGAAAAATTACGAAACAGAGCTTCGGAATTAAACAGCTGCGTCGAAGGAGTGGATGTAGGGTGTGAGTCATTGAACTGTGTAGATGTGGACCTGCGTATAAAGTGTCAGTATCAGCGTACTTACGTGTATAAGTGAAAACGTTGAGAGTAAGTTCTATATCACATAATATCATCTATATTTTATACCACCCTAAGTTACAAATACTGCCTGATGAAGCCCTAATAAAATGGAAACTACCATTTGACATGAAATGGTTTCTTCTAGTAATTTTTGAGCTCTCAAGAACACATTTTCATACAAAAGACAAGAAAACCAAGCGAATGTCAGTCGAAGATGCCGTAATCATAGAAATCTTTATAAAGAAATTAGAAAAAAAAACAATGAAACAGATTTAATCTAATTAAAAATCTCGTATGCACTTGATCACGTACAGGATAAGTCAAAGATTGAGAACGAATTGCAAATTTGTGTAAGACTGTCATGTTTTTGGTAGTTTTATTAATAAGAAAAAAGAATCAATACATATAGTTTAATTAACTGAAAAACTGTGACCATAATGATTTTACAAGTGCAGATAGGTCCATTGGTCTTTGCGAATGATCC